AGACCCCACAGAGGTCCCCGTGTGGAGCGGACGCTGGGGGGCAGCTCCCGATCCACCCCCTCAGGACCAAGGCACCATCCTGCTGCAGCCAGCTCTCCCTGGGGACGCAGCTCAGGCCTCGGTTCTACCAACAGCACCGGGTAACGTGTCTCTGCCGAAGCCCAGTCCCTTCGTGCCTCCTCGGCTCTCATCCCGAGTCTCCCGATAAACCCCAGCGGGCAAATCTCAGTCTCAGCGTCTGTGTCCCTGGGAACCCGCACTATGACAATGGCACCCCACACGGACCCGTGCAGCCCCACTTCCAGGTGCTCCTGCTAGAACCGAGACACCCCTTTCCCACGGCTGCACCCATCCCTCAACCCCACAACCGTGCTTGGGACACGTGCCCATGCCGTTCACCGGGCCACCTAGAGGCCCACACTGGCTTCCACGTCGCTCCTGCAGACCCCTCCAGGCTCACTTCCATTCCCCCCCATGTTCCTACCTCTCCTGCAGGCACACACGAGCAAACTGGGCTAAGGCGCAGGGACCACAGCAGTAATGGACACGAGGGCAAACTCAAGGGCGCCGGGCCTTCAGTACGGACACCAAGAAGTTGGCCCTGCTGGGGACACTTGTGAGCAACCGGGGACAACATGGAGTCCAGTTTAAAAACAGTCAAAGATTGGCTGGATGCAGTTCAGTGAGGACGTCAGAGACAGAGCAGCCCCCAGATCTCTCCTCCTCGCCCCACTCCCAGCCGATTACAAGAGCCTCCAGTTCTTCAGCGTGTCTGTTTTATGGCCCCTTAGGCTCCTGACCTTGTCCCCAGCCTTCCTGAAGGGAAATTAGGATCCTTGACCCTGAGCAGATCAGTGCTGGAAGGCAAAGCCCCTGCCTGAGATGCAGCGGCTCCCTGGTGACGTGCACGGTGCGGATGACGCGGGGGCCGGCAGAGGGCAGTGACACCGCGGGTGACACATGTGGGGACCCTGGTCTGCAGGGCTTTCTGGGCGTCAGTACATCCCGTAAAATAAGCAGCCATGCGAGGGTTAGATCAATTGGTGCTGAAATTTCCAGAATAATGGGCACCATCCTCATCACCTGCCCCAGCTCCTGGGTCTCCCTGAGGACTACTCAGCGCAACCCACAGCCCTAGCATCTAAACACGGCCCCAGAGGAAGGTGCGGCAGCCAGTCTGGGCGCCCTCCACTGTAGGGAAAACGGGAAAGACTCCAAACGGTCAACGGAGAAGAGCTTTTCTCATCTGGGTGACGGACATGGAGACAAGTCAACCTGCCTAACATGGCAGACTGACTCGGGGAGGGCACTTCAGATGACAGGTGGGCAGGAGAGACTGGAGACACATCTCTGAGCCTACACCTGAAGGAGGAGAAAGGGCCAGAGCCGAGATGATTTAGAGACAAAAGGTAAGAGAGGGACCAGGTTCTGTGACAGAAAAGGTTGGTGTCTGGGAACAGAGACAAGGTGAACGTGACTGGGGCAGAGTGAGCTGTGTGAACTGTGTAAGTTCCCAGGATGAGGCTGGAGACCCTGACGGGGGCCCTGATGACACAGGGCTGTGTAGCCACGGTGAGGGGTCTGCATTTTGTCCTGATGACAATGGGAGGCCAGCAGAGGGTCCAATGCCAGGGAGTGACATCATCTGCCTACAGATTTACCCCACTGCAGAGAAAGACATCTGATGATGGTCTAGGACTCGGGAGCCTGCGGCTCTGCCTCCATCCTAGTGTTTTTGTGTTTCAGTTTTGGAGGACTGGGGCCCATTTAAAATTTTAATGACAACTGGGAACTCCACCCACAAAGAACTGCCACATACAGACCCAATCTGACCAATCATTTCAGGAGTCAGTATTGCTCAGATTCAGTTTCTGGTCTAGTGTCCCATCTCCATGTTACAAGCAGGCTCACTGAGGCCCAGAGTGGGAGATCTTTCTGACCAGGTCTGAGTTGAGTGAACGGAACCAGGTGTACTGAATTCTGAAACGGAGTCTCATGGGCCAGAAGCAGTTTGTCCTTATCCTCCTCCCCCTTAAGGCACCAAGACCTTCTTTCAGATGCCTCAGCAAAAGATAAGTTTCTTTGAAAGTCTGATCACACTGATACCAAGCATTTAATTCCTCTTTTCCAGAAAATCACAGTAAAACATTTAAAAATCAGAACTGCAAAAACAACCATGGGTGCAGAACACACTGAAAGAGGGTCAGCTATAGAAATAAACTTTGACCAAATTTTTTTAAATTTCAGTTTTGTTAGAGATTCCTTTGTTTACTTTGTGAGCAAATTTCTTCATCATAAATAGATGAGCTCTTTTGGAAAAAAGTTCCAAGTCAATCCAGCCATCCTTCTATTTGCAGAGAAGCAGACAAAAGGGACTTGAGGACATCAACTTAGTAGCTCACAGCCCACTGTTTTAAGGCATCACATAAGGGAAGAAGACAGAGCAGTAGGCAGCTGGTTAAACTAGGTTTCAAATGCCAAAAACCACTGACAACCTTACCAAGTACTCACTGAAACAACCTAAGAATATGTAGTAATTACCAAAAAATTTTTCTAACATATAAGATAGAGAAGAGGGGGCGCCTGGGTGGCTCAGTTGGTTAAGCGACTGCCTTCGGCTCAGGTCATGATCCCGGAGTCCTGGGATCGAGTGCCGCATCGGGCTCCCTGCTCAGCGAGGAGCCTGCTTCTCCCTCGGACCCTCCCCCCTCTCATGTACTCTCTCTCTCTCATTCTCGCTCTCTCAAATAAATAAATCTTTAAAAAAAAAAAAAAAAAGAGAAGAGGGGTGTCTGGGTGGCTCAGCTGACTCTTGATTTTGGCTCAGGTTATGATCTCAGGGTTGTAGGATAGAGCCCCGAGTCAGGCTCTGTGCTCAGTGCTCACACGCTCTCTCCCCCTCTCCCTCTCACTGAAAAATAAATATTTTTTAAAAAGAGAGGAGAAAGCACACAGGCTCAATCTAAACCAGAAACAAATTTAAAAGGCAAACAATTTTTAATTTTTAAAAATCTAAATAATTCTGGTGTCAAAGTAAAAAAAAAATTAAGCATACCTCATATTGACTGGGTGATTAAAATAAAAACTTAAAAAAATATATATCATACTGAGAAAAGAATAACATGACTTGAGTATAGGAGGCCACCAAAGCTTATTTCATAAGTTAATAATTGGGGCGCCTGGGTGGCTCAGTCATTAAGCGTCTG